CTAACAATCTTGCCCCTTAATTGTCTTGCTTCTTCACCATGAGGCTCTGGTGAGCTCATGGATGAGAAAAGGCTCCGTAAAGTCCAGTGTCAATTATGTTTGGGTCTTTCCCAGCTATATTTCTGTAGGACGTCTAATCTCAGCTTTATAATGCTAACAGTAAGCGCTCAACAAATGTTAGCCATATGGCAGGTATGTGCTAGGAGCTGTAAACATTTACTTTCATTTAATTTCATCCTCAGGATGGCCCCTGGAGGCAGGTATTATAATCCCATTTTTACAGATGAGGAAACTGAGGTCCACAAAAGATGAGTGTGAGTGGCTTGCTCTAAGGTCACACCATTAGTTGTGGAATTGGATTTGAACCTAGGCCAGGCCAACTTCCAAGGCCTGTCATAGATTTAAGGCGTTAGTTGGGAGGTCACCCAAAACTGCTGCTTCCCTGCAGGGCCGGTGGGTGCCTCTGCTGTAGGCCTGCCGTTCCTGCTGGTTCCTGTAGGCACTGTTATCTCTGCAGGCTTGGCTCCTTTTCTGACTGATCACTGTAGGCCACGCCCCTCTCCAGGAGTCTTCCATGGTTTCTGGGGACTGCTTGGTCCCCTACTCTGTCTCCACCCACATAGGTACCTAGTACCTTACCTCATGCTTCCCTTTGCCACAGCCGCTTCTATTACCGGAGCCATTACCATTTCCCCTTCCCCTTTCTGCTGTCTTCATGTCCTCTCTGCACCTCAGACCTTCCTCATCTTCAGGTCTCAGCTCCAAGGTGGCCCCTGTCATTTGCCTCTTCCATAGGCGTTTATTTGGCACCTGCTCTGTGCCAGGCCTGCATCTGTCCCTGTCCTGTGGGAATGCCTGTCACATGGGAGAGGTGTCTATGAAAAATAGTGATTGCACAGCTTGGTCAGTGCTGTGATGGAGACAAACCAGGTTGCAAGGGCCAGGAGGCCCTAACTCTCCCTGGGGAAGAGACAGGGATGGAGGAACTTGCAGAAGGAGGAGGAGGGACTCACCTGGCAGATAGAGCAGATGACAGGATCCTAGGCAGAAGCAGCAGCCACGTGGCAGAGGAACGAAGGTGGATGAGAGGAGCGCTCTGAGTGAGGAGCCACATGTGGTCACCCTGGCCACCCTGGCGGAGCAGCTGCTGGGGGTCGTGGCAGGGGCTACAGAGTAGGGCCTTGATCTTGAGAGCAGTAGGGGGCCATCGAGGAGTCTTGAGCAGGGGAGGCGTCTGTCAGGCTTGCTCTTTAGACAGGCTTATGTTGTTGAAAGGGACAGAACAAACACCCATGGTGGGAAGAATTATAAGGACCAGACCCAGTCTCTCTGCCAGGCAGGACATAGCGTTATGGTTGCAGAGTCAGTGGATTTGCTTTTTGGAGAGAGCCCTCTGGTGTTGCATGGAGGCCGGAAGGAGGTGGAGAGACTGGAGGGCTGTGGACAGGCTGTGGAAATCACCCAGCGTGTTGCAGTGCAGGGGCCTGAGTGCATCAGGGTGGTGGGGTAGACGGAGAGCTTCAGGAGGTTGGATCCCTGGGACTCGGCTCCTTGGGGAGGGAGGAAATCCAGGTGGAGCCTGTTAGCGTGGGGCTGTGGGCAAATCGCCTAGAAGGAGCCCAGGCCCAGGAGGGCTCATCCTGGCTTTCGTGCTGGGTGACCCTGGACCAGCCTCTCCCTCCATGTGCCTCAGCTGTGAAGGAATTGGGGGAAGTGGCCTCCCCTGCTCTGACCAGCAGGTCTGTGACATGGCTGGCCCCGAAGGAGGGACACAGAGCCCATGGTGTAGCCAGCTGAGGCCTAGTCTGGGATTATCAAATCTGGCCAGGGCTGCTGTGGCCGGGGGCCAGACACTGGCATGGCTGCCATCTGAGAGGGCACGTCTCTGATCCTCGGATGCCCTCCCCACCTTCATAGTAGGCTCTGGCCTTCCTGTCAGCTGCCTTGGCTCAGTCTGTCTGGCTGCCACCCCAGAACCTGACTCCATCCAGGGTCTTCACTCTCCCGTGACTGGCCCCGGGAGGAGCAGCCTGGCTCTGGGGCCCCATTGGCCAAATCCTGCCTGGGCTGCACACGCCCCTGCCTCCCAGGCTGGCTGCCTGCCCACCTTGGGAAGAGAAGGAGGCCTGGCCTGGCCTGACACGGGCAGACTGCCTTGGAGCCAAGGAAGAAGTTGGAGTCTGAGAGGCTGTGTTCCGGGCCACCGCTGCTGCTCTGTCCCCTCCGCTGGTGCTCCAACCCAGGGGCTATATACTCCTCTCTTTGAGGAGAGTCGGGGGACAACCACAGTGAGGCTTGTCCCTTAGCTTGCAGGGAGTGGAGGGGAGGGTGGGATCTCAGCCCTGCTTGGAAGAGCTCAGTATTTCCTGCCTGACAGGGTGACAAGGCTCCTTAGCGTCCTCATTGGAAATCTCAGCTGGGAGTGCCAGAGCCCTGCAGAGTTAGACCCCAGAATCCTGGAACCTGGGCTGGCATGTCTGCCCACCTTGTGAGTCATAGATGAGTCTTGGGAGGAAAAGGGACTTGCTCAGGATTATATAGCACTTGAGGGACAGTGCTGGATTTGAACTCAAGTCTGTCTCTGTTCATCCCTCCACAAACCTTTGATGAGGTTCCTACTGTGTGCCAGGCCCTTCTAGGCATGAGCACTAGAGTAGGAGCTTCTCAAAGGGATTGGCCCGCTTTATTTTTGCATTCTCCGTGTTTGGCCCAGGGCCAATACAGAGGAGGTGCTCTGTGAATGATGGATGAATGGGTGAATGATGGATGAATGGGTGAATGAATAAGGCAAAGATCCTGCCTCTACGTATGTTGAGTCCATTTGGAAGATAGGGACTCCTTTTCATAAACAGGAAATAGGAGGTTGGTGGGAGTGGGGATTGACCAGGTGATAAGCAGAGAGGATTGGAATTCAGGTGTCCTGATGGCTGGTCTAGAGCTTTTTCCATCTTCAATTTCCTCATCTGTAAAATGGGGTCAACAGTCCTTACCCTCTGCCTTCCTCTGAGGATCCAGTGAGTCCGTGGATGTGAAAATATGCCTGTGAAGCAGGGACATTGTGTGTGCATGCCCAGAACTGCCCAGAACCCCCACACGGTCTGCCCCCTTTCTTCTGCCTGCTTACCCTCTGCATCGTACCTCCCTCATTTCCCTAGCTTTCTTCAGGGCTTCTTCTAGGAATGTTCTGTGCAGAACCCCTGGGTGAGAGAGGGGTTTGGGAAAGTGTGGGTGAATGGAGTCGGCCTACCTCCTCCCTCTACCATATCCCACACTCAGAAAGGCAGCCACCCAAATAAAAACAAAACAAAACAAAAGGCAGTTTCCCCACATCCATATCCATGCAGGCCCCCTGTGCGTACCAGGCTGAAAATGCCTTGGCAGTAGTTACCATGGTGACAGTCCTGCTGCCTGGACCACAGCAGCCTGTGAGATGCCTGCAAGAGCCTGCAAGCTTGGCAGTCTGGCAGCTCACAGGCCTCCACCCAAGCTGAAAACTCCTGGGACAGCTGTCCTCCTTTCTCTCCCCTTGGTGCCCAGCACTGTCCCTGGTACCTAGGGCTTCTTGGGAATGAGCTGCCTTTCTGGGGACCCACACACTGCTTTGGGTCAGAGAGGCCTCGTTCAAATCCTAGTTCTACCACTTAGGAGTGAGTGATCTTGAGCAAGTCATCTTGGTGTGTTTTAAATTTATCGAATTAGCTATGGGAGCCTCATAGGGGGAATTATCCAAGCAGTACAGACGCCCAATACAAGGGCTGTCACTGCCCTGAACTGTCACTGCCCCACCTACAGCAGTGGCAGGGTAGCATAGGGTCGTGGCACTCTTGGCTGCTGAATTCAGGCCCAGGGCCCTGGCTTTCTTCTCATCTCATCCGGAGGAGGCCCTATAGGTAGTGCAGTGTGGTAGGACCACAGACTTCAGCCAGACCTCTGGGGTCACAGCTGAGCTTTGCCACTTATTTGGACCTCAGTTTTCTCAACTGTAAGGTGGGATAATAATGAACCTACCTCGGGGGTTTGTTGTGTGGATAAGATTGAATTAGTACGCGTAAAGTGCTTAGAAGAGTATTTGATACTTAATAAGTCCTATATAAATGTTGGTGGCCACTGTTATCATCACCACAATTGGCAATGGCCACGAGACTTGGAACTCATGGGCTTGCCCCTCCTGTCGTTTTTCTCACACGTGCAGAAGTACCCAGCTTTGTTCACGGTCTAATCAGGGAGAGTGGGCCCGAGAGATGGGATGGCAGGTTGGCTCCCTCCTCCCCGTCCCACCCCATCTAAGGGACTGACAGGCACTCGCCACTTCTTCTGCCTGGGGACTGAGAGAAGCTGGGCCCTGGGCAGAAACTCTACCTCTAATTCATGAGTTTGAGGATTTTCTCAGCTTGTTCTCCAGCTGGCAGCTGCTGTAACCCTGGCCGGGTTCACACAGCTGCTCAGAGACGGTCCAGAGCCCTCCCAGTCAATAGAGCTAAGTGCTAAAGACAAATGAGCACCCAACAGAGGTGTCATATGAAGAGGAAGGAGGCCTTGGGGGGTGAAATAGGAGCTGCTTCTTGAAACACTGTTGGAAACGAATCCCCAGGCTTGACGGTTAGAGGGCTCACTAGGCCTCCCTGCATAGAGAGGGGGAATCTTTCAAGAATGAAGGTCAAGCTGAGGCAAGACTTTAAAAAGCTGGTTCACAAACTGAAGCAAGGAGGACTGAATTCTCTGCACGATTCCTTTCCCCCATCCCCCTCTTTTGGGTCCAAGGTCATGCATGATAACATGGAGTTGTTGGCTAAAAGGAAGCTGGGTGTAAGTGACACCCTGGTTGCCTCCTGGGGTCTGATCTGTGGGCTGGAGGGTAGTGACCACTCTTGGAGTTGGGGTCTGGTGGGAGGGAGCCCTGGGGTGCCCTCTCTTCTGCCTCCGGCCTTCAGGTCTCACAGATGGGCAGACCCAGGGGACCCTGCAGTGAGCTGACCTCTCTGTCCCTACCTGTTCCCCAGGGCTTTGCCTCTGTGTTCTCGAGCCGCCAGTCCCGGAAGTCGGCCTCACGTGCAGAGGACAGCGCCATGGCAGACACTGAAGGGTACCGGAACCCCACAGAGGTGCAGATGAGCCAGCTGGTGCTGCCCTGCCACACCAACCAGCGTGGGGAGCTGAGCGTGGGGCAGCTGCTCAAGTGGATTGATACCACGGCCTGCCTGTCTGGTGAGACTGTGCGTGGCATAGCCATCCTCCCACCCACTGGCCCCACATACTCAGAAGAGAGGCCTTGCTTTTCTGAGATGGTCACTGTCCCCATGAGTGCCACATTTGTCCCTCATCCCAGCCTTTGCTCATGCTGGTCCACCTGCCTGAAATGCCCTCTTGATGCTCAGCTCTGGCTCAAACCCTCCAGCTCTGAGTGCCCTTAGGTCCCTGCTCTGACACAGTGTGGCTTTAAATGTGGCTGCTCCAAAATTGGCTTGAGAGTGCTGCGAGCCAAGATCATGCCGCCTGCCTTAAAGAGCCGAGCTGAGCTGAGTGGAGCTGAACTGAACTTTTTTCATTCCTTTTGGTGTCCCAGTATTCTCCATCTCACAGGGAGCTCATAGGCTTGGGGCAGGGGCAGAGAGGTGACCCCGCTGCCCCACCCCCTGCCACTGTTGTATGGGGACAGGGAAAGAGAGGTGAAATTGGGGCCGTGGAGAACAGACCAGAGACACTGACCCAGCCCTGGTGGCAGAGAAGGAATTCTAGAGGGACTAAGGCAGGGGAGCAGAGTCCTGAGGGTAAGAATGACTCAGGCAAGCAAACAAAGGTGGGTGAAGGTGGGCAGAGGTGCAGGCACTTCTAGAAGGTCAGGAAGTAGAACAGCATGGCGTGATCATTCAGCCATTCAAAGTTATTTATTGAGTGTCTACTGTGTGCCAGGCACTGTCCGGGGACTGGGACATAGAGTGAACAAGGCAGGCAAAAATCCTTGTCCTCAAGTAACTTGCTGTTGAATAGAAGGGACAGACACTAGATGGACGAAACTCAGAGATATAGCAGTAACCGTAGTAGCCATGGAGAAGAAAAGTGAAGAGGGGGGCGGGTGTGGGTGAGAAGGCACGGCCTTAGGTCAGGGTCTCTGACGTCTGATCAGAGGCCTGTGTGACATGGCCTCTGACATGGGAGGCTGCTAACGCATGGCTTTCTTCTCTCGTTGCCAGCGGAGAGGCATGCTGGCTGCCCCTGCGTCACGGCCTCCATGGACGATATCTATTTTGAGCACACTATTAGGTAAGTGGCCCCTCCTGCCTCTCTGTCCTTTTGGGCTCCCCACCACGAGCCCAGGTCCCCGATCCTGTCTCCTGCCTGGAACCTGACGTGACTAAGGGCCTTTGCAGATGGAGCAGAAACCTCTGGGGAGCAGCGACCCCGCTGCAGGGTCTCTGGAACAGCGGTGGGCTGGGAGCTGGCCTGCTGCTGGGTGCGGTGGGATGGGTTCCCTTGGCCAGGGTGGGGCCAAGGAAGTTGCTTCAGGTTTGGTGGTAGATGTTGCTGAGGCAGCATCATGGGGTACTGAGTGACTTTGGGAAAGTCAGTCTCTTCCTCTGGGCCTCAGTTTTCTTATCTGCAAAATGGAACGGATTAGACTCAATCAGTGAATGCCTTTTTGAGCTAGGACATTCTCTGTGGGTCACTGGTCACTAGACTGTAGGGAGATCCCTAGATAAGATGCCTTGGCAAAGCCTGAGCCAGAAGCTTGGGTCATTTAATCTCTGCTCACATACCTTCAGGGATGAGGAGCTCACTACCTTATAGAATTTTTTTTTTTTTTTAATGTCTGTACTGGTTAGAAAGCTCTTGATTACACCGTGTTGAGTTTTGTCTTCACAGAGCTTTGCTGGGACCCTAGGAGCACGCTAAGCCCTCAGTCCAGCACTGTAGGGGCTGCATAGAGTGCTCTTTTCCCTGGGCCTGCTCCTAAACCTGCCATCAGTGCCTAGGACATCAAGTGCAAGGGCTTATTCAGGACTTTCTGGGTGCCCAGAGTGCTGAGGTTAAGGAAGACGTTTGGCCAGTCCTGCATTGATGTATTCAGTCCTTCGTCACTACTTGTACCTTTCCCAGACCAGGGCCCATGCTGGGTCTGTGGTCCACCGAGTCAGCTTCAGCATAGTCCCTGAGCCCCAGCAGCGCCCATTCTGCAGGAAGGCAGATGTAGAAACATAATTTCAATTCATAGGCGTAAGTTCCATGCTAATAATGACCTCTGATATACTCGTATGGGTGCATAGTAATACTTTTCCTAATATCTTTTTATAATGACTCGGTTTTTTAAAAAAGATTTTTATTGGGGAATTGGGGGGATGGGAACAGTGCTGGGGAATTGGGGGAAGGGGAACAGACAAGTTGTTGTCGTTTTGTTCTTCAGTCTAGTTGTGGAGGACCTTGCTTCACTGGCCCAAGTTGGCACCATCATTGCGCTCTTCCCAGGAGAGGCAGATCAGTCGCCGGCTTCTGGACGGCCGCTCACTGCGGCTGCTGGCCGCTCACGCTGGCTGCTGGCTACACACGGTAGCCCATGGCAACCCACTGCCACAGGGGCTGCAGCCTACACCGTCGCCAGCGATTCACGGCAGCCCAGCTCCAAGTTGAGCTGTTGTTCAGCATCTTAGCTGTGGAGGGCAGTGTCACTGGCCCTCATATGTGGGATCCGAACCGGGGCCCTCTGGCATCCCAAGCCAGTTCTTAACCATCGCGCCACTCAGCCGGCCCATGACTCGGTTTTTTATTTACAAAAAAGTTGTAGATTGTACTGAGAGTTCCCATATACCCCACATCCAAATCCTCTATTAGCATCTTACATTCATATGGTACCTTTGTCACAATTACTAAACCAATATTGATGTATTACTTGAATGCCATTTTAATACATTAGCCTATTTAATCCTCAGAACAACACTATTTAGGTCCTGGCAGTTATATCCTCATTTTACAGGTGAGGAAACTGAGGCACAGGAAAGTGAAGTAACTTGCTTAAGGTCATATAGCTAGTGGAGGACTCAGGATATACTACCAGGCAGGCAGGCTGGCCCCAGAGCCTTTGCTTTTAACCAATGAACTACATTTCTTTTATGTCTGGGGGTGGGTGTAGTTCCACAGAAGATAGTCAAGGGGGACTTCCTGGAGGAGGTGTTTGAGCTGGCTCCAGTACTGTCAGCACAGTATGTAGTGACACTTTAAAGAACAACAGAGCTGCTCTGGGCCAGCTCTGGGGCTCTGCTGCCAACACAGGTTTTGGCACTCAGAGGAGCTAGGGATAGAGAGGGCTGGCAGGGGGATGCTGCATGTATGATGGATGGACCTGCTGCAGAACCCAGCAGAGTGAAGGTGAGTCTGGGCAGAGGAGGGTGTGGGTGGAAGGAGGAGATGGAGAGGATCCTGGGACAGAAGACAAGCTGGGAAGGGGCCTGGAGCATGGTTGGCGGCCAGGAAAGGTGGGAAGGCTTTTTTGTTTGTTTGTTTGCTTTTTGCAATTTACAAATACTTCAAGATATCTCTGAAGGATAAGAACTGTTTTTAAACTTAACCTCAGGGCCATTACCACACCTAAACAAAATTAGCAATAATTCTCACAAACATCAAATATCCACACTGTCTCATGAATATGTTTCTATTTTGTTTTACTTCACAGTTTTTGTTATTTAAGTCAGGATGTAAATAAGGTTATAATTGGTTGCTATGTTTCTTAAGTTTTGTTTTTAATCTATAGATGCTATACCTCCCCCTGCCCCGTACTCTCCCCCCACCATCTGCCTCTCTCCCTCGTCACCCCCTCCTTTTTCCTTGACATTTATTTGTTAAGGAAACATGGCCATTTGCTCTCAAGAGTACTTCGTCATCTGGGTTTTGCTGTTAGCATCACTGTGGCATCATTTGACATGTTCCTCTGTCCCCTGAGAGTTTGAACAGTCCCCTGGGGAAGAGCTTGAACAGGGGTCATATTTGTTTATGGGAGCAGCCTCTGTGATGTGAACACCTGGAGGGGTGCTGGGGAGCTAGGGGCGTGAGGGGCTCCCCAAGGAGGCTGGGCAGTGACCGCGGGGAAGGAGCCAGTTTCAGCCTGAGCTGTGGGATCGAGTCCAGAGGGGTGTCTGCTTGGCTTTAGGGGAAGCCAGAGAGGAGGAGGGTTGATGAGGGGGTCAGAGGAAGAGAGTCACAAATTTCTTTCTTTTTTTAATAGCACTATAGAAAATAAACTTTTATTTTGAGGATCATGGATGCTTTCATTCTATTTTTTTTATAATGAAAACTTGCAAAATTCTAGAAAAGTTAAATATACAATGATTACCATCACTGAGATTCAGTAATTAACATTTTGTTCAATTTGCTTGATGTATATATGGATAAATAAATACATAAACCTCTCTCTCTCTCTCTTTTTTGCTAAACCATTTGAAAGTAATATCCTAAAAATGACAGTCCTCTACATGACTGTTAGAACAGCTAAAAAAAGATGAACAGAAATGAACAAGTCAGCATAGGGCAGGCTAGGTGGCTCCTCCAGGGATTCTGGCTGTTTCTGTAGATGTGGGAATTATTCCAGCGGGACAGGCTGCAGCTAGAAAGAGCAGGGCCAGTGCAGTCAACAGAATCAGTCTAGAATCCTGGCTCTGCCACTTTTTAGCTGGGTGACCTTGGGCAAATGGCTTACCCTCTCTGATGCTCAGGTTCCCCCTAAACCTACCTGCCAAGCTTATTTGGAGGCTCACATGAGGTAGTGCACAGTGCCTGACACATAGTAGGCTTCCTTTAAGTGTTTTCATTTTCCTTCCCAGCCTCTGCTAATAGCCCCTTGCCCTTCCTAGGCATTCAATAATTGTGGAATGTATTAATTCGGCAGGCCACTATTTATGGAGGACGTGCCCTATGTCCTGTGTCCTGTGCCCTGTGCTAGGCCTTGAAGAGTCAGTGGTGGTCTTAAGTGGAGCTTAAGGATTGTAAGGGAGACAGAGGCCAATCTGCCGGAAAAAGTGTTAGGAGAGTGAAACTTATGGGGCTACAGGAGGGTGGGGAGGGCTTCCATGAGGAGGGGACCATTGAATCGAGGGCAAAAACAAACTCGAGTGTTCACTGGACAAGGGGGAACAGGGGAATGGGAGCAGATAAATGAAATCACGCCACTTCTCTCAGCCTCAGCTGCCCCTACTGTAAAAGGGGTGCTAACACTATCTTGCTGGGTTGCTTTGAGTACTCAGGTGACGTTGCAGATGTGATTCTGCTCTGTAAGCCATGCGTTCTCCTGCCAGTTCCCCTCAGCAGAGGCTCCACAAGTATCTGGGGTCCCTGCTTCCTCCCTCGGTACCCTCTGGAAGGCTCACCTCCTGCTTTTCTCTCCCAGTGTTGGACAAGTGGTGAATATCAAGGCCAAGGTGAACCGGGCTTTCAACTCCAGCATGGAGGTGTGTGGGGCAGGCACTGCCTGGGTGTGAGTGGGTGCTGAATGGGTTTTCTATCTCCTCTCCATTCTCAGTCCCCAGCCCAGGCACACTCACACTTGCAGAGCCCTGGTTGAGGCAGCAGAGTTCTGAACTAGCTGGCAGGACTGGAAGGATCCTAAGGATATCTTCCTGTCCAATACCCTATAACACAGAGGGGAAAACTGAGACCCAGGGAGGGGAAGGGACTTGCCCCAGGTCACCAAGCCACATGGATCCCAATGTGGGACTTGACTTGCAGCCTCCTGGGTCTTCACGCCTAGCCTCAAACCCTCTCTGCAACAGTCACATGGTTGCGAAAATGCAGGGAAGCCAGCCATTGTGCCTGACCCTGGAGGCAGCAGGGCTGGAGCAGGGAGAATACTGGGCTTTGGTCCTTTAGCTTACTTCCAACAGTCTCTGTCTCCCCGTCTGTAAAGTGGGAGCATGATTCCTGTGCTGCAGGGTTGTTGAAGGACTCTTTGGTGATGCACAGGGCTCTGTTTCCCACCCGTGGACATCAGACCCAGACCACTTCACCCAGACGGGCCAGTGGTTACTGAGGGACCACTGAGACTGGGAGAGCAGAGCCCTGACTGTGCCTCTGGGCACCCCATAAATGCCCAGGTACCCCTCAGGCACTCCCCACACATCTGTCTTTTCAATTTAGCCAACACTTTTGCTTACTTTAAGCCCTTTCCTAGATATGGTCTCATTTTAATCCTCTCAATAGCCCCGTGAGGGTGGATATGACCATCCCCACTTTACAGATGAGGAAACTGGTGCCCAGGGAAGGGAAGTGACTTCCCAAAATTTCCCAGGGAGCCAAAGGCAGAATTAGAACCTACTCTAAGTCTCTAGCCTCCTAGATTTGGTGAGTGATACAGAAATAGCAGAGGCCGAGGCTGGGGTGGGACTTGCTGTCTCATTGGGCTGTGGGGCCTCAGGTTGGTGAGATCTATTTCTTCCCTCCTCTGTCCACCTACTCTTCCTCTCCAGGTGGGCATCCAGGTGGTCTCCGAGGACCTGTGCTCTGAGAAGCAGTGGAGCGTGTGCAAGGCCTTGGCCACCTTTGTGGCCCACCGGGAGCTCTCCAAGGTAGGTAGCTACACCTGGCTGCTAGATGCTACTGGGCCACCTAGGTTCCTGTCATGGCAGGCTTGAACCAGGGAAGTAAAGCTAGGGGTTGGCAGAGGGGCGAAGGTAGGGGCCAGGCAGGGAATCCACAGCCCCCAGAGAGGCCCACTCCCACTGTGATCTGACCCCAGGCGCCTCCTTCTCTCGTTTTCCCCACTTCTCCCTGTGCGTCTCACATGAGGATTCTTCAGGCCTCACCATTCCCTTTCAGGGACTGCTGTGACCCCTCTCCCTGTCCTCTGGGCATTTGCTTAAGAAGGGGGACTGGGGACATTTGGAGGATGAACATGATGTATCAGTCAACATGGAGACAGGAAGATGGGGAAAAAGGGGGACAAAGACTTGTAACCATCCAGCAACCCCAGGCGTGAGATGGTGGCTGGTGGTACGGGCCCTGGTGCTGTTTTAGGGAACTTTTCCTGAACATCCCCCATCCCACCCCTGCCCACAGGTGAAGCTGAAGCAGACCACGCCGAGGACAGAGGAGGAGAAGACGGAGCACAGTGTGGCGGCTGAGCGCCGGCGCTTGCGGCTGGTCTATGCAGACACCATCAAGGACCTCCTGGCCAATTGTGCCATTCAGGATGGTGAGCGGCTGGGGATGGGGAGGGGGCCTGGCCTCATGCATGCCCCCCTCTGCCCTGGGCCCCCAATGGACAGAGGGAAGAAGGGAGTTTCCTTGGGACGTCCATCCACTGGTGGCCTCAGGCCTGGCTGGCTCTCTTCCCTCAAGGTCTCCTTCAGGGAAAGGAGAGTGTTTGGGCCTCTCGCCCAGCTCCCAGTAGCCATGAGGATGGAATTAAGACATATGGAAAATGCTTTGACATACACAAAATTCATTTGGGTCTCTAGGATTCAAGGTATTTGGGAAGGTAGTATTGAGTTTGGCCGTGAAGATTCTAGGATTTTTAAAAAGCATATAGGGAGGTAGGTAGACAGACAGACAGACAGACAGACAGATAGACATAGGTGTAGGTGTTGGTGTAGGCATAGAGATATAGATAGAATAAAAAGCAAGACTCCTACCCCAAACCCAGCCACTCCCCCCCCCCGGCACCTATTGTTCCTGTTTTGGACATCTTTCTAGAAATATTCCCTGCATATTTAAGCACACTATATATTATTTAGTGCCTCCCCTTTTTACCCAGAAGGGAACATACAGTACAATACTGTTCTGTGTCTTGCTTCTTTCTTCTTAAAAGTGCATCTTGGATATTGTTCTATAACAACACACTCAGATCTACTGTGGACTGGTAGGATTTTGACAGGTGGAGAGATGCAGAAAGGTATTCCTGACAGAGGACACAGGTTAGGCAAAGGCCCAGAGGGGTTACCTCAGATTTGCTCACTGATCCCCGGAACGTTAAGATGCGGAGTCTTCCTTAAAACCTAAAGGAGGCAATTTTCGGACAGGTCAAAGGTAGTTCGGCTGCCCAGAGTGGGAAGGGAGCAGATGGAACCAGCTAACCCCAGTGAAAACTGTGGGCATGCCCTATTTTTGCTGGGCCTGGGGGCTGTGGCTGGGCACAGCTCTTTCTACCTTCATTGAGGTTTCTGGAGCCATCCAGAAACCTCCTGTCCTGACCGCCCTTCTGCCCAAAGGTCAGTCCAAATGCCCTAGCCTGGCATCCAGGCACTTGGCTGACCGCTCAGTCTCATCTGGTGCTGTCCCTTACTTGCCCTCAGCTCCAGCTAAGCCAAGGCCTGGCTGCTCCTTGTGACTGCCCTGCTGTCCTGCCTCCAGACCTTGGGTCAGGCCTTTAACCTCCCCTCCTCCCTGCTTACGGCATTTCTGAGCAGCCTGCAAGCCAAGCAAAATGTCCCCTCTTTGATGTGCCCTCCCTGACAAGATCTGTCTCCCTGGGAGATGAGAGATGCAGGGCACCTCCTTAGGTTGGGTGGGGGCATATCAACATCTGTTTCCCTGGCCCCCCAGGGTCCTGCCTCTCTTATGAGGATGTCCTAATGCCATTGCCTCTGAGGGAAAGGGCATGCCAGGGCAGGGGGAGGGAAGACCTATCCTTTTTGAGAGCATGCCTCCTGAGTTTGCACCAAGCGCCTTAGAACCCTGATCACATTTCATATTCATAGTCCTATTGGGTTAAGTTTGACATTTGCCCTTTACAGGGGAAAAAACTGAAGTTCAGAGAGGCTACTCGACTTGCCCAAGGTCATATAGCCTGTATGGGGAGGAGTTAGGGTTCCGACCCAGGTGTGTCTTGTCTCAATGCTAGTGTTCTGTCCTCTGGTCTGTGCCAGCCTCATCTCTCTCATCTGCATTCCTCCCATTCCTTATCCAGGTCCAGCACACTTGGTGCTGAGTAAATAAAAGAATCTGGGTGGGGTGGAGTGGTGTTGGTGGGTCCCAGGCTGCCCATGGGGAGGGTCTGCCCTTGGGAAACTTCTCACCTACCCTCTCCCTCCCTCTGCCCCTCCCTGGTCAGATCTGGAGAGCAGAGACTGCAACTACATGGTGCCGGCTGAGAAGACCCGCGTGGAGAGCGTGGAGCTGGTCCTGCCCCCCCATGCCAATCACCAGGGCAATACCTTCGGGGGCCAGATCATGGCCTGGATGGAGAACGTGGCCACCATTGCTGCCAGGTGAGGGGTGAGGGTGCTGCCTCTGCCGCCCCTCCATTCTCCCCTCCTTCCCTTGACCACCTCCCTCTGGGGGAGAAACCTAGGTTTGGGGTTGGCATGCAAGGCCTCAGAAGCTTGGCCGTTCTGTTAGAGTAACCTGGGACATTCAGATCCAGAGAACCAGAGAGCAGTGATTTCCTCTGAGCTGGCCATTCCTTCCTCGACTTAAAAAGATCCTTTCTTTTTTTCAGTTCTCTGAAAATCAAGCCATTTGCCCTTCCCCTTCCCATCCTCCACAAAGCCCCTCTGACTGTTCCCTTCTCCCTAGAGGGGAAACTAATTCCTTCCTTCTTCTACAACCTCTGTGCCTGTCCTGGGCTCATTCTACCCTGACTATCTGGGCATTTTTTATAGTTATGATAACTGATGCTCACTAACTGACACTCTCATACCTCCGTGACTTTCTACTTGTTCCCTCTGCCAAGAGTGCTCTTCCCAACCCACACCCTTCTTAGGCAAATTCTTCCTCACCTTTTAGAGCCCAGCTCCAGCGGCTCCTCTTCTGTGTTTAATGGGTGGAACATAATGCCACATAAGTGATGCCCAGGCTGAGGGCAATAAGATCTCAGAGGAAGATCAGAGGCCCTGTAGCCAGGGAAGGCTTCCTGGGTAGAGGAAGGACACTTCAGCTGGGCCTTTGGGTAGCTTTGGGTAAGGGGAGGGCTTCCAGGCAGTAGGAACAGCAGGTGCTAAGGTATAAAGGTTGGAAGGAAAATGGGGGCGGGACTTACCCGAAGCCCTGCCCTAGACTTTTTCCTGTCAACTTAAACTCAATCCATGCACATAGACCTCAGTATTCTAAGCTGTGAAATGGAACTTTTGTTTTGTTCTTCTGGGCAGGGCTTCACTGGGTTGGTTAGGAGTGGGTGGGCCAGAGGGTGGTGCATGTGGTTTTGGCTGGGTCTGGGGATGGGGGTGGGGAGAGGAGGCTGGCTCAAGCCAGTGGCTGAAGCATTTGGGACACTTCTCCTGGCCTCTCAACCCCTGGCCTCCTCCAGCCGGCTGTGTCGTACCCACCCTACACTGAAGGCCATTGAGATGTTTCACTTCCGGGGCCCATCCCAGGTTGGGGACCGCCTGGTGCTCAAGGCCATCGTGAACAACACCTTCAAGAACAGGTGAGGTGGGATGGGCGGGACCGGGGTCCTCCTGGGCTGAGGGCTCTTTCTGACTAGAGAAGGGACCCAGCTGCACACCTGGCTGGAACCCTTTGCCCTGCTGATGAGGTCTAAACCCTGCCCTGCTGCTAGATCCCTTCACCATCACCAAGATTCAGCTCTGATGGTGCCCTCCTCTGGGCTTCCCAGTGTTGTGCCTCCTGCTGTCGTGGATCGGACCGTGTGTTTAGTGTGTGTCTCTCTCCGGGCTCCTGCCGTGGGCTGGCTACACACACAATGGAGACTCAGATCATAGGGCCACCTCTTGCCAGTCATTATCAAACCTTTTCCCACCTTTTTGCTAAAACAACACTTAGTTCCCCAAGCTCTTACCTTTGGCATGAATTCTGATACTTACTCCCAGGAAAGCTTACTTCAAATATCTACCTTTTTTTGGCAATTTCAGAGATCATGGTGTAGTTGTAAAAAGCAAAGGATCTGGAGGCAGGCTGCCTGGGTGCAAGTTTGGCTCACCTCTTACCAGCTGTGTGACTTTGGGCAAGTTACTTAACCCCTCTGAGCCTCAGTTCTTTCACCTGTAAAATGGGGGCTCGTCACAACTATCTTATAGTTGTAAGGATTCAATGAAGTATTACTAGTAGAACACCAGAGAAAATGTTCAGCGAAGGTCAACCATTGCTGCTATTATTATTATTATTATTATTAGTTATTATTATTTGCAGTCTGACCAGCACACATTGTGCTGCCCTGCAGGGTAAAAGCCCTGACCTAGTTGCTGTGAATCCTGATTTCTGGCTCAGATTCTCTTCCGTACTGTTGTGTGACCTTGCCCTCTGCTAGGTCTTGGTGTCTCCATCTGTATCATGTCCACATTCTGGGATCACAAACATTCCTAAATGAGGTGGATGGTGGTGGCTGCTATTTTATAATTAGTGAAGACAGTCAGATATACAGAAACAGCATCCACTCACCTGTCAGGATCATGCCTGTTAGGGCGCTGGTGAATGTGCGTGGAGTGAACACTTTTTCTAATATGGCTTTGTACCTCCACCTCCTCGCTTATGTCCTTCCATGACATATTTTCATTTTCATAACATTATCATTACGTGTCTTTTTATTTATTTATTTATTTTTATTTTTAATTTTTTTTATTTTTTATTTTTAGCTGAGCCATCCCGCCACCTGTTGGCAGCTCACGGCTGCTCAGCTCGGGCTGACTCGAACCACTGTTGCTCAGAGCTCAAACTCTTGAGCGAGCTCTTAACCAACTGAGCCACTCAGCCGGCCCCTCATTACGTGTCTTATATGTATGTTTGTTGGCCCATCCCCTGGCTGTTACCCGTTGAGGGCACGGGCCTGTCAGGCTTATTCATTTCTGGGTCCCCAGCGAGTGGCACAGGGACAGGCATGCATAGGTGCTCTGTAAACACTGATGAAAGGGTACAGTTCTGGGTTGCCTACCAGTGGACTCTGATCTGCTGCTGGAAGAACTGTAGGAGTGCATGTGTGTGTGCATGTACATGTGTGTGTGTGCCCGTGTGTTGGGGAGGGGGCATGGCCTTGGGAAGGCCTGTTCAGCATGAGAGCAGCCCTCCTTCCCTCAGCATGGAGGTGGGTGTGTGCGTCGAGGCTTACCGCCAGGAGGCCGAGACCCAGCGCCGGCACATCAACAGCGCCTTCATGACCTTCGTGGTCCTGGATGCAAATGACCAGCCCCAGATGCTGCCTTGGATTCGGCCCCAGCCTGGGGTGAGTCAGGGCAGGACCATGCCCCGCCACCAGCTCCCCTCCCTCTCTGCCAGCTTGGGGATAGCCCATGACAGGCCCTGGGAGCAGCAGGCTCAGCTCTGCCCTTCTGCTGGGACATAGCCAGTGCTAAGTGTCCTGGTGTGATCCTCAGAGATGCCCCTTGTGCCAGGTGGGCACCTTGTTCTGCCTGAAAGAATTCAGACTCTGTGTGGGCCTGGCTCATAGTTAGTTGTTAACAGGCATTCATGGGCCTGTAGAGTTGGAAGAACACTGGCTTTGGCTCAGATGTGGAATGGAACCGCCTCTGTCATGTTCTAGCTGGTACCTTCTGTGGGCTTTCAGCCCCCATCTGTAAAGCGGGCATATCTGCAGTCCTGGCCTTACAGGGCTGTGGGATGTCTGGGATACTGACCCTGGGCCTGGCTAAGGCCTGCAGGCACTCAGAAAGTGGTGATGTTATCATGATAGTGACAGGAGAACAAGGAATACAGGGCAGAGAGTGAGGGGCCTGGGTTCAAAGGTTAGCCCTTAAAAAATACTTTTCTGTGGGCCAGGCCCTGGCTTGCCTCCGGGGGGCCAGGGAGTGACCTTGGGGAGGCCTTTCCCTCTCTCTGGGAAGGTCCCTGTCCTGCCTGTCCACCTCACAAGGCCGAGCATGGGCTGTGAAAACTCCTTGCGCTGTAGCTGGATGCTGGGCGGTCAAGAGTGAGTGATAAGTGGAGGAGTGGGGAACCTGGCAGACGGGTGGCATAGTGTACAGTCCCCAAGGTCCTTTCAGACCTTTGCTATTTAATGCTCATTAGTGAGGAGACATAAGAAATAGTGGTTAAGAGGACGGGCTCCGAGGTAGGCCATCACAGGTCTGATCCTGGCTCTACTCCTACCCTTGTGACCTTGGGCAAGTCACTTAACCTTTTGATGCCTCAGTTTCCTCTCTGTAAAATGGGGATTGTGCTAGTTCCAACCTCATAGGGTTGCTGTAAGGTCTAGATGAAATTTTGCATGGAAAGTACTTTAGAAGAGGGCCTGATACATAGCAAGTGCTCAATAAATATGGATGCTTCTTAGGGACCTCTTTCTACGGAGAGGAAACTGAGGTCCAGTGAGAGCAGGCGGTGTCCCCAGAGGGGTTGGAGCTCAGTGACCTGGCACTTTCTAGTCCGGGCTGCTGTGACTCTGGCTGTCCCAGTGAGGCCTGAACTCCACTTAAGGGTGGCAGGGCCTCTTTGGGTACTTGGGGGGGGAGGGGGCTGGGTAGGGGTGAGGGAGTCAGTCATGGGGGCGGGACAAGCTGGTTTCACAGTTTGTCCCTGCTTCTCCCCCCAGGACGGCGAGCGGCGGTACCGAGAGGCCAGTGCGAGGAAGAAGATCCGCCTGGACAGGCAAGTCGGGGCTGAGTGGTGGGAGGGCACACAGGGCTCAGGGCTGCCAACCTGCACACAGGCCTCAGGGACTCTCATTCCTTCAGTGCTGCCCCCGTGCTGGGCATTGGCTGGGCCCTTTGCATCCGTGCAGCCTCATTCCACAGTGGTCTGACTGGCCCATTGTCCAGGCAAGGACACCAAGGACAGAGGGATTAGGTGGCCACAGGCACACAGATAAGAGTGATCGGCAGAGTGAGAATTTGAACCTGGTTGGATGTGGCCAGTTTGAAATCCTGTGTTCCTTCCATTGAGTCTGATGCCCATTTGACAGATGAAGAAAGTTCCTGAGAGGAGAAGCGATTGCTCAAGATGCAAACCCAGGTGTAAATGACTCTGCTAAGGAAGCACTTTACAAATTTGAAAGAGCTGCAGACACGCCAGGGGGCACCATCACCATCCATTGTTAGTAAGGAAAGTGTGCTTTCATGGAGTATTTACCATATGCCAAGCCCTGTTCTCCTCATGATGACCCTATGAGGCAGGTGTGACTACTGATCCATTTCACAGATGAGGATACTGAGGCATAAGGGTGAAGTTGCTTTAGCTCAGCAAGGGCGTGGGGCACTGAGCCTTCACCCAATACCCTTAACCCCCTGTCCCTTCCCACCTCTGACTGAGTTTGTGCGTTCTCACTGGTGTTCTGTGTGCCCGTCCAGTCTCCCTGGCTATACAGGAGTCTCACCCGCCTGCTGGGCTGAGCACAGGGCTTGGCACACAGTAGGCCCGCAGTGAAGTCTGTCCAAAGAGATGGGCTCCCAAGGGACTACGGTTGTCATCTTCCCTCTCTTCCAGGAAGTACATTGTGTCCTGTAAGCAGGCAGAGATGCCTCTCTCTGTCCCCTGGGACCCTAGCAATCAGGTAAGGCCCTCTGCTTTGAGGGGAGAGTCCTTGGGCCCACCGCCATCCCCACTTACCCCCCAACCTTCCCCTGTTGTCATAGTGGGTTTGGAGGTAGGCCCTAAGGGGACAGGATACTAATATCTCAAGATTGGTAGAGTTAGCAAAGAGCTTTCCTATGTTCCTGTTTGGAGAAGGGGTTTGAGCCCCTGAGCAGCTTGTCCAGGGTGACTAGGGAAGTCGGGCCAGGCCTGGGCCTCTTTCCCCAAAGCCCAGCACCCACCCTTCTTCATGATCCAAGTTCCTCTCCCTGACCTCAGCATGGCCTCGGCACGGAGCCCCGAGGAAGGGGAGAAAGTGAGGCTTCTCTGTGTGCCTGTCCAGGTGTACCTGAGCTACAACAACGTCTCCTCCCTGAAGATGCTTGTGGCCAAGGACAACTGGGTGCTGTCCTCAGAGATCAACCAGGTAGCTGATCCCGCCCACCATTTCTCCTCTGAGCAGCCAGAGGTGGCTGAATGCGAGCAGCAGAAACTCTCAAACCACTCAGGTCAAGAGGGCGTTTCTTAAAAGGGATGGGATGAGATCAGAAAACCAATCCCTTTATAGAAACTTACCTGCCCCCACAGGGCCTGGAGCACAGAACCCCCAAATCCTTCTCTCCTCCCTGCCTACCTTCCTGCCCCCATCTCTCATTCTTGCTGCTCTCTGTCCAGCTGCTTCCTCCCTGTCTCTCTGCAGGGATGCGGGGCCAGTGAGCAAGCATGAGCTGAGGGAAGACAAGCTCTGCCCCTCTCGCCTGAGTCACTTCTCTACCCGTGACATTAGGGGTTTGGGTGGGCCCCTGGCCCTGAGGATCCGTTCCATTATTGCTTCAGTCACTGCTTCTTAAGATACCTTCTTCTTCTTTTTTTTTTTTTTTAAAGATTTTACTGGGGAATTGGGGAGGGGGAACAGCCAAATTGTTGTCCTTTAATCTTAGTTTTGGAGGGTGCAGATAGCTCAGCTCCAAGTCCAGTCACTATCCGGCTGCCCATCGGCAGCTCATGGCTGCTCAGCTCAGTTCAATATTAGTTGCGGGGAGAAGGGGCGCAGCCCACCATCCCATGCGGGAGTCGAACCAGGAACCTTGTAATTAGGAGCATGTGCTCTCACCAGGTGAACCATCCTGCCACCTGTTGGCAGCTCAGCTTGGGTGCAGCTCACTGGCCCATGTGGGAATCAAACCAGTGACCCTGTTGCTCAGAGTTTGCGCTCTTAACCAACTGAGCCACTCGGCCGGCCCCTTAAGATACCTTCTTGTCCACTTATGATAAATTCTCTCAACGGCCATTTTCATAGGGAAATGACTGAGTCTCAGAGAGGTTGAGTCTGTTGTTCACAGTCATACAGCAAGTCAGTGCAGCCCTGAGCTTCCAGACTTGGCCTCCAGCATCCCCACCTTTCAGCATAGTCTGGGAGGGGGTGCAGGAACGAGGCCACCCTCTGTCCTATGCAGGTCCGCCTGTACATTCTGGAAGATGACAAGTACCTCTCCTTCCACATGGAGATGTTGGTGCATGTGGACACAACCCAGGCCTTCCTGCTACTCTCAGACCTGCGTCGGAGGCCCGAGTGGGACAAGCATTACCGGTGAGGGCCTGTGTGTGAGGGTGAGGCACAGGTGGAGTAGGGGCCCTTCTCAGGCCTGAGAGGGAGGGTGGGCCCTCAGGTGTCCTGCTGAGTCATCCCACATTATGCTTAGCCCCTGCTGTCCTTTAGCTGGAAGTGGGGTGGGGGACTGTAGTTATGTTAGGTGGGGGTCAGGGTCAAGGGTATTCTGAGCCTTCAGGGAAGGAACTGAGCCTGGAATCGGAGTTGATGATCTTGTCCTGTTTCTGGTCCAACTAGCTGTGTGACCTTGGACAAGTCATTTCCTTTCATGGGCCTTAGTTTTTCTGCTCTTTTTTTGGGGGGGGGGAGGGGAACAGTCAAGTTGTTGTTGTTCTTCAGTCTTAGTTGTGGAGGGCACAGCTAGCTCAGCTCCAAGTCCAGTCACCATATGGCCACCCGTCGGCAGCTCGCGGCCGCTCAGCTCAAGGTGCCGTGTTCAATCTTAGTTGTGAGTGGCGTAGCCCACCATCCCATGCGGGAGTTGAACCAGCAACCTTGCTGTTAGGAGCATGTGCTCTCACCAGCTGAGCCGTCCTCAGTGGCAGTTCAGCTTGGCGCAGCTCACCGGCTCATGTGGGAATCGAACTGGTGAGCTTGTGCTCTTAACCAACTGAGCCACTCGGCCGGCCCCAGTTTTCCTGCTATTAAAATGGGTACTTGAGGGGTGGGTCATGGATTTGCACTCTTGGATAAATCAGTGATTTTCAATCTGCATTACGTGGAGTTTTACATTCCCAGAGGAGTTTCAGGAACTAAGGTGGGGGTAGGAAGGCTGAAGAAGTGGGTGGGACTACCTCCTAGGTTCAGACCAACTAATTGCCAGTTTGCTGAATTTACCAAGTTTGCTAGTTCTTTTTATGAATATGTACACGAATATGTTATTTTTGAATGTAGTGAATGACTGAATATAAATGTTATTCTTGTGAACACATTTGTTCCCCAAATTTACTGATTCTACATATGACTATCTTTTTGCATTTAGTCAAGGAAGATAAATTTGTTCTTAGGAAAACAGCCAAAAATTTCAGTGTTTAATATGAGAATGTTACGGTGAAGCCGGTAATTTTTCAAATCCCTTTGAAATAATTTTCTGTTATGCCAATACCCTATTTTGGGGGGTAGGAGTTCTTTGATCATTTCACCAATGCCTTATTATGAGGATCCCATATTCTTGAGTCTATCCATAAGGAAGACCTGTGCATTTGGAAATTCAGTGAGTAGGTCGCTTGATTTTTGACAAATTGGCCTTTCCCCTCCTACCCCCACCTGTCCTCACCTCAGCAGGTCCTCTTGTAACTGTTTATACACCAGTTTTCAGCTTCAGGTTTCTTTGTGAAAGGGCTGTGCTGCTTTAAAAAGCTCTGGTCTAGGTGACCCCAGGCCTGCTGGCAGTGCCGTTCAAGAAGCCTGAGGGGTGATATGGTGGTGAATGCTGGGATGGTGGGGGGTTGGGCATATGGTAGGAAGGCGTCTTGGAGGAGGTGGGCTGATGTGGGCCTTGAAGGCCAGACCAGATCTTGATACTTGTTGGGATTGTGGGGGAGGGGCCTAAAGGGAAGGGGAGCCCTGACCGCTTCCCCCGACCCTGCGCACAGCCACCCTGATCCTGAGGCAGCCTCCGAGGGTGAGTCGGAGAGCAGGGGAGAAGATAGTGGGCCCGGACATGGTCATGCATACCTCTGTGTGGATGTCCTTTGGTGTGTGTGTGTGTGTTTTGGTGTAAGACTATGTATGTATAGGCGCGTGAGTGTGGTGTGCCCCAAGCCTGAGGGGCACAGCTCTGGCACCTGACAGCTGAGCACACTCCAGCCCTATTGGCTCTGTGGCCGTGGGCAGGTTATTTCTGAGTCTCATCCCTTCCTCTACATAAGAATACCTGTTGCCGGGCTTTTGTAGGGTTAAACTCGTAGTACATATGAAGCACTTAGCATAGTGCCTGGTATATGGCAGGCGCTCACTGAATATTCCGCACAACCCATGAATGAACACACGCCTCTATGTGGGGTGTGTGCACCTGCACAGACATGTACAGACACACATGGGTCTTTGTGCTCAGTGGGTGTCTATCCATGTGTCTGTGCATGGAGGTATGCCCGCAGGTGTGTGTCTGTGCAGGTCTTTGTTCCTGTGTCTGCACAAGTGTATGCATTTGCCTGTGTACGTGTCTATGTGTGCCTGTGTGTGTGTGTGCCTGTGTGTGCCTGTGTGTGTGTGTGTGTGTGTATGTGTGCGCTCGCGCTCGCACTCTTTGGCTGGGCCTTCCTGCTCTCCTATGGTCCCTGCTGAGCAGTGTAGGGGCTGAAGTGTCCCTCAAGCATCTGCTTCGGGAGGCTGAGGCAGGGAGGGCTGGGCCAGAGCCGCTGTCGCACAAGGAGCCACTGTGACGCCCTTGGGCTCTGAGTTCTGGGCCTTCCCACAGGAGCGTGGAACTAGTGCACCAGGTGGACGAGGACGATGCCATCTACCACGTCATCAGCCCTGCCCTCGGCGGTGATGCCAAGCCCCAGGACTTTGTGATCCTGGCCTCCCGGCGGTAGCCTTGTGACAATGGGTGGGTGCCTGCCTGCTGTGGTGGGACGTGGGCGGGCTCCCAGAGAGGGGACAGCAGCTTAGAGTCAGCGCTGTGCTTCCTATTGGCTGTGGGACCCCAGGTAGCACTTGGCTTTTCTGGACTGCCGTGGTTTTCCTGTGGGTAAAACG